CCCTATACTCCATGAATGCCCCTAATTAAAGCACACATCCTATAATATTGTGATGACAGTTTCTGTCTTCTACATATCCCTCTCCCCACTAGGCTATTATTATTTTTCTGAAGGAAGGGACAATTTTCTGCTCATTTCTATTTTCTAGTGTTCAGTAAAATAGAAAAAAGTTTGGGGCTGTAAATTAACCTCTCTCTTCTCCCTTTTCTCTGACTCTGTCTCTTTCTCTGTGTCCCTCTGTCTCTGTTTCTCTCTATATACATATCTATCTATCTATCTATGTATCTATCTATGTATCTATCTATCTATCTATATTATATGTTATAAAATTTTTTAAAACCAACTTAGTGAAAAAGTTTCATGCCGTCCCACAACGTATACAATGGCAGCAGCTGCTCTGGGTGTCTGGCAGAGGTGGAGGAAAAGGGCGGTGCAGGGGACTGAGTTCAGAGAGCCCTGCCACCTGGCATGGGAAGGAGGGCTTGGGACACATTTATGCACAGAGAGGAGCAGCTGCACTTCACTGTGTCTAAACTACTGGCACAGAGATAGAGAGCTGTCTGGTTCTTTCGGGCTGATGTCACAGTGAGAGGAAAGAACGCCTTCTCCTCCTGAGAGGCACCGTAGCCTTCGGCTATGTCTCCTTTCTGAACGTCCATCACAGTCTGTGAGTAGTAGATCAGTCTCAACCCCTGCCCTGGGTCCTGTCGGTACCAGTACATGACGTCGTAATTCAAGTTCTGTTCACATTTTAAGGTCACACTCTGTCCTTCCCTTCTGGACAGGTATTTTGGGGTCTGAGTGACTCCACCATCTATGATTCCTGGGGAAGAAAGAGGAAGATGCTGGAAACACATCCCAGGATGGTGCCTGATGCTGCTCTTACTGGGGAAAGGCATAGATCTGGCACATTCGGGACGACTTTGCTCCTTGAACCCAGGACTCACCTGCTCCAAGGAGACAAAGGGCCACACAGCAGAGTACCTGGTTGCTCATAGTGAGAAGGCGGTCTCCTTGTAGCTCCACACACTTGCTGGAAGAGAAATGAGAAAAGAAGCTCAGCTCTGGGACTCCCCCTGGCTGAATGTGTGGAATTTGTCAAAGACTAGAATGAACAGTTGGAAGGATCCTGGAGACATTTAAGATGGGGGCCCTTGATTTTGCAGATGAAGAGACAGCCCAGAGAACTGAGTCACCTGTGCCTCCTGGAACCCTGCATGGGATGAGGGGGCTGGCACCCCAGAAATCCGGGCCAGGGCCTCACTGTGACTGGCCCGTTGGTTTTCACCTCTCCAGTGACCACAGTGTTTTGATTACTAAGGGCGCACTGTAGCCACTCTGGTCAGACAAGAATTCCAAATTCATTTTTGACACGATCAAGTCTCTCGGGGAAAGAGTGATTCCTGGGGTCTGTCCAGAGGTCCCTGTGGCCGCTGTGAAAACACGCCGCTCAGCTCTCCTGCTGCACAGAGCATGGCCATAGCTGTTCTAGATCCATCATGCTCTCACCCCACAACCTCACTTCCTTCTGACTGCCTTGTCTCTGGCTGCTTTTACAACTTTATGTCATTTCCACTCTCTTACTTGTTTCCCTGTCTTTCTTCAATGCCATCGTTAAATTTTTATTTGAGTCTACTGTTCCTTGGGCATCTTGTAATTTATTCTTCATTTTGTGATAATTTTGTCTCTTTCTTTCATTTCTTTCCTGAGTTCAACTTTTTTATTTTTTATTTTTTTCTTTTGCAGGACTCTAAGTTTTTGCCATTTCTATTCTTAGTTTTTGAACTTCTGGTTATAAGTGGCTTCTCATATCCTCAACTGCTTACTTGAGAGTATTTAATTCTGTTTGCAGTGTAGACTTACATCTTCTGACTCATGATTGTTTCATGGGGGGTGATGGAATCGGGTTTTCCTCTATTCTATGGATTTTACTTTTCTCTTGTTCATTTTTATGTTATTGGGGAGTTTTACAAAATTATTGTTATCTTTTTCTTTTTCCATCATTCTAGCAAAGTCCACATACCTTCGTAAGCTTTGTTCATTTTCGTGCTGGGCATGACTGTGAGCCCTCCTGATGTGTGATTCTCTTTGGTTTTGCAGGACTCAAAGTTTTTCACTTTTTCCTCTTTTTCTCTTCACTACCCAATTGCCACAGAACCTTCTTCCTCCCTCTTTGCCTTTTTTCTTCCTCAGAAGCAGCACCTTTGCAAGACTGTTCCTTTACATCATGCGTCTGGTGCCTTAAGTGGCTTGCACTGTGGAATCCCCCTACCCTGCAGTCCTGCAGTCTGACCAAGGGCCTGGTCTTTTTCTGTTCGTCTCCTCAGCTCTCCTTCAGGCCCCCGCCCCAGCCAGCCAGCATCCCTCTTCTGTCTTCTTGGCAGATTTTTCTGAGTTTTTCTTCTCCCGGATGGGATGAGGGAGGAGCAGGAGTGCATAAAATAATTTCAGAAAATCACATGGCAGAAAATGCAACGGAGCAACTGGGTTTATACTCCATGCTGGTGAGGCTGGACTTAACTTGTTACACGTGTACTTGAAATGACTTTGCATTTATCTGCCTTTTGATTCTTTGAAATTATTTCATCAAAACAAATGATTATATACTCTTCTCTGTAAGTGCCCAATAGTTGTTGAGTGATATGAATTAAAAAAAAAAAAAAGCACTGAGATAACAAAAAGTTGAGGTGACATTCTTCTAATGAACAGTATTGGTGCACCAGACCTTTCTCCTAAATTGCAGATAGATTTATCCAACTCAATTTCCATTGTCTCTCAGATATTCTATACTTTTATAGCAGGAGTTCTTAATCCTGGCACCAATACAAACCTAAACAGGCACTAGGCAAGGAACAAAACAAGGATTATACCAGAAAGAACACATAACCCTTTGAGCCAGACAAGCCTGGTTTTAAATCCTGTATGTCTGTCACTTACTAGTTGTTTCTTTTTTTTTTTTTTCTGTCTCTTTTTCTTTCTTTCATTTGTTCTATTTTTTCCTTTTTTTTTTTTTTTTGTTTGAGAAAGAAAAATTTAATCCTGGAACCATATATTCTCAGGGTGAAAAGGAAGAAAACACTTTCTTTGCATTGTCTTGGGTATTAAATAAAATTACAAATACAAAGCATGAAACACAGAACTTGCTGTACAGTATGGAAAAAAAGAAAAAAGAACTATGTTTGTCAAAAGGTGTTTAACCTGACCAATTATGTTCAGTTTTTTAAAATCTTCACATTTTTCAAATGACAGAGTTGTAGTTCTTGAGCATGGGCTGAGATATTCCATTCTATTTCCACAATGCTCCCCTATTTTTATC